TTTAAATTTCAGTCTCACCTCACAAAAGATACATATATAAACATACTTATAAAATATAACATAAAAGTGAGCGACCCTTTTAGGGTTATGGGAGACTATTGTATTGGTTCAGGCTCATAACGCCGACCTTTCGACCAAACTGCACGGCTGAGTGGAAACAAAATATCGGCGTCATTTTGTCAATTAATAAAGGATTACGAGGACAATGAAGGATCAACGAGTTGTTAGAAGAGGATAATCCGGGTTATGCGGATGAGAGCACACCTAATGAGAAGACAACAGCTTACATTTTTATCAGTTTATTTCCATACTTGAAGCACTCATCAACAAACTCAGTTGACAGATTTTAACGGGGTTATGTTTACAATGATATACACAAATAAATACGTGAATTTTTTATCAAATACATCGCATATCCGCTGCGTATTCATGATACATATAGCACACATTTTGTTCACAGAGATTGATCCACAGATTTTAACCCAAATGCAACAGGTGGAATGCTGAATCAGCAAACTGTCTCACGGACAGTGTCCCTTGTCTGAGCTGGTGACGGATGTCATCCAGTCGTGGCTCCAAGTCCCTGTATTTTTTTCTTCTTGGACGGACGCTTCTGGCCAGCAGCGTACTGGACCAGTTTGTTGTTGTTGGTTCTTGGCCCATCTGAGTTGTGGTGGTTCCACTGCGTTCCACTGCGATATGTTCACCTAGTGCGACGAGTTCACCTTATTCAAACACCTAGAGTAGATTATCCGCAACCCTAATTACGCCTAATCAGAACCTAACCTTCAAAGGAAACAGCAGGTCGGCGTCCTGAGACTAGTGGAAAATCGAAAGGTCGGCGTCCTGAGACTAGTGGAAAATCGAAAGGTCGGCGTCCTGAGACGACACCATTGTATTACCCATACGGGCTAGGATACACAGGTGATTATTTTTGTGATAATCGCACATGTGCTTTTCGGTGATTCTCAACGTGGATTGGTCAGCTAGGCAGAGAAGAAATATGATTGGTTGACGGAACTACTTTTCATGATCCAAGTTCATTGACAACTTTTACCGTTTCATAATTAGAACGTGCTGTAATCACACATTCCGAGATTTAAAAAAACAACAACATAAAAGTCTTAATTTTGTTATTAGACGTTATTATTTTGCAATAAAATTGCGTTATAAATAATAGTCTTTTAAAATTATATAATCTTTAAAAAAAACACCCAAAACAATCGTTTGCATTGTTTGTAAACAAACATGGCCGCCATTAGGCTAACCCCGATCAAGGTCACTGACCTAGTTAAGGTTGACGGTTGTAGAGTATCCCTGGTTACAGGTTATAGGTCGATCAGAAAAGGACCTATACTTAGATTCTGCAGGGTTCAGGTTCGACAGTCAGTCAAGTATTTTCCACTGTCACTTCGAATTTCAACCTTTCGCAAAATGTAAACACTGGCTCGTCCGCCATTTCAAACTGTTGCGAAACTGTCTACTTCCAAGAAAATAAGTAGGTCAGACGATTCCATTATATTGTGGCCAGGGGGGTACAGTAATACGGCACACAAAACAATAGGTTGGTTTGGGACTTGTGGGGTTATTATTATAAAAACCAAGCTCTTAGGTGTTACATTATTGCATTGAATAAACAGTAGATTGTTTTCTTTGGACAGAATACTTTTTATGTTGAAATGTTAAAAAAAATACGAACGAACGTACCACTCCTTTATCAGACGAGTTCAATTCGCCTCTCATCCCATGCCGGATTACGCAGTGTCTTCCGCAGGACGAGGAAGTTCGATGTTAAATCGGTTATGGTGGAATGGAGATAAACATACAGTGTTTATCTCCTAAGTAGAGTCCACCCAGGACTGTAAACGATTATTCAGCACGTTACAATACAGTTTGTACATAGAGGTGGTAAGGGTCAAACCCCGATATGACACAGGATCCATAGGATCTAAAGTTGAACATTTGGGTATTGGATTTTATGAGACCTTTACCCCAGGTTGCAGGAGTTTTCCCTGTATTAAAACAAACATTGAAAATATGATGTATGCAATGATAACACTTTGTGACTTAGGCACTCACTAGGGATACCATCAACACCAGGCGCCTTGTTGTTGTGGCTTCTATCCACTGCTGCCGTAACCTCAAACAGAGTAATCTTAGCGTCAAACAACACTAGCATCTTGTCAGATTCATGATCATTATCACACATCGGGGCACAATGTTGCACATCAGTATTTCCATTCAACAATTCACAGTAGTCATTCCTCTATTTATCTAAAACATTCGCATAGTTTTCAGACACACTCCCATCTTGCCTATACTCTTTCATAGGGATCTGCTTTCTCCTTTCACCACCAACACCAATCTTACCCATCTTCGTCCATAACTCTCTATCATTGTTATCACACATCTCATCCAAACGTTAACTTTCCGGTCGCACGTACGCTCGTTTTGCAGCTTGCACCCCTTTGTCAAATAGTTTGCGCTTTCTCACAAAACAGTGCTTTAGATACACTCTCTCATTCCAAGACTTCTACACTTACACGACTTTCTCTCTGCCTCACACATTCGTTCCATAACACACAACCCATCATTCCACCAAGTCTTTCTTATACGACTTTCTCTCTGCCTCACACATTTGTTCCATAACACACAACCCATCATTCCACCAAGTCTTTCTTACACGACTTTCTCTCTGCCTTACACATTCGTTCCATAACACACAACCCATCATTCCACCAAGTCTTTCTTACACGACTTTCTCTCTGCCTCACACATTCGTTCCATAACACACAACCCATCCATACGGCTTTGTCTCTGCCTCACACATTCGTTCCAAAACACACAACCGCATCATTCCACCAAGTCTTTTTCTTTACTCCTGCCTCCACAAATCATTCCACAACGCTCATTATTATTCTTGCCACCACAAACAACAAGAGAACGTGGTTTTAACTTAGTGAGCATCTCTCTCTGCACCAGATTCGTCAATCTCTCTGCTCACTGGTCTAGGTCACAAGTTGACCCCTCAAGCTGTGAAATAATAGTATTGAATTCATTTTCACATTCAACTGATTCTAAAACGTTTGTTGGCACATTCGATATGTCAATACGTGTCGCATATACCGTGTCTTGGTGGATCTCTGATAGCGGTATGTTCTGGTGTCACGATTGATTGCTGGGTGACACTTCCTAATGTCTATGGTCTCTATGGTAACCTCCTTTGACGCCAGTTGCTGTTTGTTGCGACACATTTCCTTCCTCGACACGATCTACGCACAAACACACTGAATGCCCATTACTGAAATCTTCACATAACCTCTTCCGAAGAATCCTACTAGATGGGCACGTGGTGACTGAAAAGCAATCCAGCATAGATCACGTCCTGTTTAGGAGCTACTTGTGTGTACCTAGATACACTTCTTGACAAACAGACTTGCGAATATTTGCAAACAGTAACCCCTTTCGTTTGCATTAGATTTCAAATGCCTTCTATCGGCATATATGCCTGTGACATTGAGCAGACACTTCAGTTCGCTGGGCGAGCTGCCTTGTACCTGGTACCGTCTGCTAACATGATACTGGTGTATTATCCCATGGAAGACACAAGTCACGCCCTAGGTCACCAATTGAATACAGAGTCATTGATACGTATACAGTGTTATCAGCCAGACCGATAGAAAGTTGGACTTAAGGTTTGTTTAACATCAACCTGAGGTAAAACCGCGAATACAACACAGCACCTCATTGACTTGTATAGTGTGTGCAACTGTCGCAATAATATTTCATTTATACCAAAACTGCACAGTTTAAACAAAAAGACCATTAAAGTAAACTTTCTTATTGTCCAGAAATGTGCAACGAAATGGAGACTGCCTTTCGTTATGATAAGATGTGTTTTCAATTAATGTAAACGGGGAAGGGACAAAATAAAACTATTAACTTTTACCAATTTTTCTAATATTACTGCAATGTTATTCGGGGACACTCTTGATCTCAGGAGAACAGTCCAGTGACAATTGTCTACCACAACAGTACCCGTTACATGTATAACATGAATTAGAGGGACTTTCTGTCTAATCCCATCTAATTATGCAATATAAAATCGTGTCCTATAATTATTTTCCTTCGAAAAAAAATTTAAAATGTGACTGCTAATATGTACTCTAGGATAGATCTATTATATAACACTTCCACAACGTTGGGGTGTGTTTACACACTGACACACACAGTTAGGGATATGTGAAATGAAATCAGGTGTGGCCTCGTCCAGAAGGGCATTGAACAACATTGTCAGGTGACATAACTTATTAAGGAAGTGAATTTTATGGATGTCAACTTTTTTATTATGAGGCACACAACTTTTCGAAGTATATACTTACACCTTCATCAGGTGAAATGGTATACTCACTTTTTCATCAAGTAAAATAATTTCACCTGATGATAAAGTAAGTATATTCTCAAAAACGTTGTGTTCCTCATATAAAGAAGTTGACATCCATAAAATTCTCTTCATTGTGTATATCACTTCTAAATGCCATTCAAAGACCTGACATAATTTATTGTTGTAGGACCCGAAAAATCCGAGTGATCTCGCGAACACCAGCAAATGTGTCACATATGGATGCAGATGCAGATGCATATTTAAGAAATGGACTTTGACTTGTATATCATGTATGATTCTGCTAAAAAGAAGAAATATTACATATATTGCGTAATTACATGACATGTAATACATTCATCACACCAGACGTGAATTCATATATCCAGACACGAAAAACACCAAATGGGAACTTCTGTCAATTTATCTGAGTTGTGTTAAAAATAGAAATGCCATTGACTGATAATCAAGTAACTGTGCATGACGACAAAGAAATACGTTTATGTTCATACCATGATATATTTTCGCGATTCAGCAAACCTATGTAATGATATTATCAAAGTGTGAGCGAAGATTAGAGTTGAAATACACAGAGAGAAAACTACCGGCGCACATTTACCTTGTTGAGTATTCCCCCACGAATGCACATGGCTAGACCACTGTCGTATACAGTTAAGGTGTCGGTGTACATGGCAGTTTGTACAGTGAAAGGATACCAGCTAGCGTGTTCACTCAACAGATGAAACAAGCGCTGAAGCGACTTGTATACATGTGTATTCATCCGATAAAGAGGCATGATCTCCATGATAAAACATACAACATACCATGCCTTATAAATCCAACATATACAGCGTTTACGATGTACTAGGCTTTCTGATATGTTGACGTTTATCTTGTATCAGATGTCTGGCTCAAGGGCTGTACTGGAAGTATGGTGAGTCTATCTTTATGATAGGGAAGTATGGATAAGGGGACGAAAGTCTTTTATAGCGACAACTTGTTGTTAATGCAGATATAATCTAGAAATGAAAATTAACACTGATACGTATTGCTGATATACTTGTGCTAGTCTAAACCAAGAGTTAAGTATTACATGCGCGGATATGTGTGCCTGGTCATGAGGAATTAACACAGTATCTCCTTACATCTAAGTCGTCTGTGTATTCAACACCCAGGCAGGTGAGCGTTACAACTAATCTCATAAACACAGATCGTGATGCTCTCTACCGAAATATCCAGCAATATCACGGCGGGGGACACCAGAATGAGCTTCACACATTGTGTGCATGTGGCGAATCTAACCCGGGTCTTCAGCGTGACGAGCGAACGCCCTAACTACCAGGCTACCCCGCCGCCCCATAAGGTGGGAAAGAGAGTCATTGTGATGCAGATAAGGGTTGTGGATATGGTAAACCAAGAATCATGACTGCAGGAAGTCTTCAATATAACAGCTGGCATAACAGTAATAATACACGGATGAGCATCGACATTGCCAAACAAGGACTTACAGGGTCTGAAAGAGTTCGTGTTGATTCAGAAACAGTAGTCTCTATCTGCCATAAGGTTCAACAAACCTGTTTGTTATTATAGTTAATGGGCACAACGGAAGGCTATGGTACAGATCAACTCGTTGATTGTTCACTACTGTTATGTGCCTGTGCAACACTGCCCCGGTTTTGTCGTCAATGTAGACAATTTATTGTTTCTCTTATCTTCGCACCGTAAATCACTTCTGGGCGAATAACCCGAACTTATCGTCGGCCCAGACTGCAGTAACATAGACGGATCAAGAAGGGGGGTGCAGGGGTGCGTACCCCCCCCCCCCCTTTTCCCTTTCTAAAAAACCTGTATCCGTCCCTGAGTAAAATAAAGGAATCTACATGTATTGGTTCGTTCCCCAAGGAGGCACGGATAGGCCAGCCGTCCAAGGAACTATTGGCCCCTTCGATGTGCAGAGTTGACTCCCTTGGGTCGCTAGAACCTAAGGTCGTGGGTTCTTGGTCCCTATTGTCCTATATTAATATATACTGGGCTCCCATCAGGCTTTACTAGGTCCCCACAACACTATTCCAGGGTCCTATCAGTCTGTAATAGGTCCCTACCACACTATTCCAGGGTCCCATCATTCTGTACTAGTACCCACAACACTCCCCCCACACTATTCCAGGGTCCCATCAGTCTGTACTAGGTCCCCACCCACACTATTCCAGGGTCCCATCAGTCTGTACTAGGTCCCCACCACACTATTCCAGGGTCCCATCAGTCTGTACTAGGTCCCCACCACACTATTCCAGGGTCCCATCAGTCTGTACTAGGTCCCCACCGCACTATTCTGTACAGGTTCCCACCACACTATTCCAGGGTCCCATCAGTCTGTACTAGGTTCCAGGGTCCCATCCTGTACACTATTCCAGGGTCCCATCAGTCTGTACTAGGTCCCCACACCAGGGTCCCATCACTATTCCGGGGTCCATCATCAGTCTCCAGGGTCCCATACTAGGGTCCCCACCTCACACTATTCCTAGGGGGTCCCATCAGTCTGTACTAGGTCCCCACCACACTATTCCAGGGTCCCATCAGTCTGTACTAGGTCCCCACCACACTATTCCAGGGTCCCATCAGTCTGTACTAGGTCAGTCTGTACTAGGTCCCCACCTGGGGTCCCATCAGTCTGTACTAGGTCAGTCCCACCACCACTTATTCCAGGGTCCCATCAGTCTGTACTAGGTTCCCACACTGCACTATTCCAGGGTCCCATTCCAGGGGTCCCATCGGTCTGTACTAGGTCCCACCACACTATTCAGGGGTCCCATCAGTCTGCTAGGTCCCCACCACACTTTTCCAGGGTCTGGTTCCCACCACACTATTCCAGGGTCCCATCAGTCTAGGTCCCCTATTCCAGGGCACTGTATTCCCCAGGGTCCCATCAGTCTGTACTAGGTCCCCACCACACTATTCCAGGGTCCCATCAGTCTGTACTAGGTCCCCACCACACTATTCCAGGGTCCCATCAGTCTGTACTAGGTCCCCACCACACTATTCCAGGGTTCCATCAGTCTGTACTAGGTACCCACAACACTATTCCAGGGTCCCATCAGGCTTTACTAGGTTCCCACCACACTATTCCAGGGTCCCATCAGTCTGTACTAGGTCCCCACCACACTATTCCAGGGTCCCATCAGTCTGTACTAGGTCCCCATCACTCCATACTACTGACTCGTGCGGGACACCAATCACCCTTTATTAGATCCTAACACTCTACTAGATCACTCTACACAAGGTCCCCATCTGTCTATACTACTATCTACCACTTTATGCTCTATATACTCTATTCACTTTCGAAACGTGTTTTCCTGTATATTTAGAATAGACAGCTTTCTTTGTGCGACTGCTTGTGTATGGGACTGCCCAATTGGCTACTCTCCGAAGAAAGTATATATTTGATGACGTATTTTCTACACATTCAAGTTGTTTCTTCGCACGTTAGATCATTAAATAACACATCGATGTGTTCATTGGGCATGTTATCCTTACCGGTCCTCTCTACTTATATGTGCATCTACTATCCTGTTATCCCTATCCTGCCTGTCTACTACCCTGTCCATCTACTATCCTGTTATCCCTACCCTGCCTCTCTACTACCCTATCCATCTACTATCCTGTTATCCCCTACCTTGCCTCTCTACTATCATGTCCACGCACTAACCTGCCATCCATTAAGGCAACAACTCAAATATCCAGCCACACCCACTTAACCCACTCAAGCCGTGTGTCGTGTATTACGCCAAGCCTACCTCAATCAGGTCAATCCCCGATCAGGTGCATCTGTGTGACGATGCAGTTTTAGTAATGTTTGTTACACATTTCATAAAGTAGTTGGACAGTCTTATGTTTAACTATACATTATGTCATATAATGTGTTGAAATATTTGGTACACTGAAGGAAGTGGGATCCTGGTGGTCTACCGCGGTTATTCCTGTGTTGACAACCGTGTCAATGAAGTAGGCGAGATAACCGAATATGAGGCACAAAAATGTGGAATGTATACAACTGGAACTAGTGAATGCATATTGCATTCGAACGAGTATTTTGTATTATTATTTCAAATGTGTCAGCGTGTTTATAACTTTCTGACTAAATTTATTCATTCTATTTGGGATAGTGCTGTTAAGTCTAATGGGACACTGGGGTTATGTGGTGTTACACATACAGGTTATATTCAAAGATGGCGTCTTCTTCATGGTTTTTTAGACAACCTCTAAATTTATAAAACGTGTTAGAAAGTTTGCCACATAAAGGCGAGGGAGACACTGAAACGGTGTGTACGGGATGAGTCCTGTACGGATTTCACCTCGCTGTCACACCTGGCCACAACCAGCAAAACCCTTTGTTATCCTTGTGTCTGTGTTTAACATTCTGCAAAACTTACTTTCGTTGTTGGAGTTGTATACACTTTACATTTAAATTAACAATCTAATTTTCTTGTCCATTTTAATAGGAAACACCTATAGGACTTAAGAGTAATAATATACAAAACTCCTGGTGGGATAGGGTGTTAAACAATTGATTGCATCATGTAATATATGTCCTTCTTTACCTTCAACTTCCCGATACGGTTTTGTTCGGGCTGTTTTAAGCATGAGAATGTTTCCTTGTTGACAGGCAGTTTGCCACAATAGTCACAGAAATAGCACGGCGACCATTTAACCTGAATAAGCTACTGTGTTCATTCATTACGAAGGTGATATCGTGTATCAGGTTCAGTATGTACGAAATGCAACCGCATATATTTTCAAAACAGGTCGACGGAATGACACAGAGAAGTAATTAAAACCCATTAATTGAAAAAGCACGCCTCGGTTTGGGGAAATGGTTTGCTGTAAAATTAATTTATTTCCCATTGTACTGAAGACATAATACCGTGTTGGTGCATCGCATCAATGTTTTCTATATGAATATATAGTAATTGCAAATAGTGCAACACAACATTTACTATGACGTGAACACGAACCTATAATACAGCCATTGACAACGTCCCTCAACAACATCTCTCAATCATGGTCATAATGTATGGTGTATTTATAAACCACAGATCCGGACCGGGGATCTTGTATGGATATTCACATTCTGTAAAAAAAACACATAAAGGGAATTAATTACTTACAATCGAACAGCATAGCCCGAACTTTTTTGTGTAAAACTTGTGAAGCGTAGATAATGCTAAATAAATATAGCTTAACCTTCTTCAAGCCACCGGCAAGTTTCAGAGGAGCTGTATTGGGATCCGTATTACATGGGTTCATTTGTTCAGGGGTGTAGGGATGCTTGAAGATCTGTTTCAAAACACAGTGGCCTGCGCATGGTATGTCAGTCTGTGTACCACGTTATGCTCTGTTTTTTCTTCTAAATGTGACTCAGTCATGTGTGAAGGACAGGGTAAACCAGTCTCACGACATCCTTACCAGCGTTCCTGTTGACTACACACCTTTGCCAACAATGCATGAGCATTCATCAATATATTTGGCCATTCTTCATTGAGTACAAGAGGTGACTTCACCTGCAAATGTGCTTTAAAAGTACAAGCGTTTTTATTTGTGTTTTGGTTTTTATGTTTCATTCAGTACGACGTGATTGAAA